AGTACACTGAAGTGGAACACAATTTATGAACATTTATTAACAATTACCATTTAATAAGCATGATCAGGGTTTTACCTTGACTTACAAAACTTGGGGTCCAGGTCCCCCAATAATTTCTTTTAAGGGTCCTTGCAGGCAATATATGAGGGTCCTGTAAAGTAATGATATGGTGTAGTGAACTGTACATCTTTATATTCACTTTAGAGCCTTATAATGAATCTGATGATCATGTGAACAGTGGTCATTAATTGATGGATGAAATAACAGAAACCCATCGCTGCTCTTTTTATGCTGTAGCTACAAAGAATATTATTGTGTGTCCTTTGGGATGCAGTATATTTATTTTCTGCATTCTTTGCATTTGTGCGTACTGGACGCTCATTTTTGCATCACGTAAAACCCTGCATGATACAAAAAGATAATTCCAGTGTTACAAGTACCAACTTTATTGCTATCATGCTTATTTTTAGTGGTTTTTTTGTTAAGAGTCATATCAGATCAGTATGCATGGTATGAGCAATGATTATGCTTACAAAGCATATTATCTAAGCTTTGTGTACTCGAAACTTCCTGGTTGATGTCTTTTAATAAATTGTCTTGACAGATATGGGTTAGCCAAACAGTCTGATTCTGATCGTTTTCTGTATAAAAGGATACAGATAGGTTCCCACGGACATGCAGCAATGACAACACCATGTTTGAAAAAACATGTATTCATAAACTTGAGAATCCTTGCACCTCGACATGAGCATGGTGACCCTGTGATGTGTGAGAGTTGAGAGGAATGCAGATATGAAATATATATTTTTTTTCACTTAGAACTACCAGTACCATACACTACACTGATTGGTCAATCAGAAGGTAGCAGTTGATTCATAACATGCAACTTATTCAAAGTTATTCAAACTGAGTGCTGGGTTAAACAACAAACAAAAAGAATGGATAATGAATACTATTAATATCAGATTTGTTACTCCAGTTCAGTGTTACCTCTGCTTAAATATTTGAAAATCCCTAGCAACAGAAAACATAAATGTTTCCATGGTGATATAACTAGAATACTGTTAAAAACGGCATTAACACTCACTCACTCACTCACTCACTCACTCACTCACTCACTCACTCACTCACTCACTCACTCACTCTCACTCAGACCCTTCAAAACAGCCCAATAGTCAGCAAGTCTATATTGGTCCAGGCCCAAAGAATGCTGCCCCTCATCAAACAGCAGTAACACCACTATCAAAGATGATGTATTAAAACTTTCTTAGATAGCGCTTTAACCTGTAAGTCCTCATGCTGTTCGGCAAGCTTCCCAGATTGTTAAGTTAAGCATTGCATATTCTAGTTGTCATTATGAGAGAAGGGGATGGATGATTCTTTTGTCCGATTCTAGACCATTAATGATGAATGAAAACAGTGAGCTGCACCGTCCACTCATCTGAAGCCAGAGTATAGTAAACTACTTTTCAATTGTAAGCTCAACAAATAGGTGATAGTCAATAACATCAGTTCAGGCTAGTGGACTCTCACGTATTTGGCCCACTGAAACAAATGTACATTGATCAATGTACATGGTGTACAAGTCATTAGACATATTGATCAACATTTTTCAGGATATATCCTGTATGTACCCGGGTAGGTGAAATTTTTATGATTGTCAACATCTGGATGTGGTGCTTCGTTCACTGATATTAGTGATGTGTTTCAGTGTGCATGGATATCACTTGCTTACCATGCTGATTTAAATAATAAAGCATTATTGTAAGCATGATATGGGTCTAAAGTTTGCCGCGGCGATGGTGTAGCCCAGTGGTTAAAGCGTTCACTCCTCACACCATAGACCCCTCCCCAATCAGGCCTTTCCGTTGACAAACCTGTGAAAATCCAGGGTAGAATAGGTCTTTAGCAACCCATGCTTGCCGTAAAAGGTGACTTTGCTTGTCATAAGGGGCGACTAATGGGATCGGGTGGTCAAGCTCGCTGACTTTTTTTAAGCATGTCATCAATCCCAAATACATGGATCGATGCTCATGATGTCAACAACTGGATTTTGTCTGGTCCAGACTCGATTATTTACAGACCGCAGTCATATACATGATATAGCTGGAATATTGCAGAGTGCGGCGTTCAACAACAATCCAACCATTCCAACTCTGTTGACATGTAGTCATTACCATGTGTTGAAAGGGCATGTTAAACATGTCACCTCTTACTTGTCAATACATTGACTTTCTGACAAAATGGTTTAGTTTACAGTATCGCAATCAATTCCCACTGTCTGAATCTTACGAAGGCATCTAAGCAATCCGGAACCCTGTTCAGTGAAACATGGTGTGACACAATGATTGATGATTAAAGAACTATGAAGCAAATTGTATACAGATCCATGGGCCGGCTGTTTCTCTCAGATCTCATCATGTTGCTGTGTATTTGCACTAAGGTAATGCTAGACCTTGGTCATGTATGTCACACATTTTGCTAATAATGTGTGTGAGTCATCAGAGAAGCAATAGATGATCACAAATTTATATTCTTTTATTTCAAGCAACAATCAGCAATTCAGTTGCTTTACAGAATTTTCAGGGTTCTTCTGTACATAGGATTGAAGTTTATTGTTGATCAGATGTTCGCTGATGGGAGTATGATCCTGATAATTAAGCAGCTGCATGTAAATGTGAATTCTTTAAGCATGTTAAGGTTTTGTCAGAATGTTTTCGACCATGCAGTGCTGATAAGTGAGGACATGTCAAGGAAATCTTGTCAATTATCAGGACTTTATTTCAGTTATCACCATGTTTTGTGCCCTTTGGATTATTTTTACGCTGATCCGTCTTGTCAGTTGTCAAGGTCATCCTCAAGGTCATCCTCCAGGTCTTTGGTGCCTGTTATCCTTTGGAAAAGGGCATTCAGAAGGAGGTTTTGAAGGACTTTTATGTACATGGTATAAGATCAAGGTCACAGGAAAGGGGACATTGTTGCATAAAGTGGGTTTGCCATTTTCACTGAACAGCCTTTTTCCTGCTGCTGTTCTGTAGGCAGATAATTGCAATGGTTACATGATTTAATACACATGCTGACAAGTAATGACAATGTTTCGATAACAATACTATGTTACAGTGACCCACTTTTGATAGGTAGCATATGCTATATATTTGTTGTACATTGAATTTCACCTGAGGGAATCCTTTTTTTTTTTTTTCTTTTTTTGCTGTATGGCCTTGAGATATTTGTCAGTGATACTGAACATGTTGAAGGTCAAATTCACTCTCAAGGTTATGATGACACTCAAAACTTTTGTATATTCTTAACTCAAGAAGTGTTTACTGTAGGCAAATGGTAGAAGAAGACTCAGTGATTATTGGAATTTGGTACATATTATCCTTAGGATGTTATATTGAAGTTGTAAGGTTTTGAGTGACATTCATTGAAGGTCAAAGTCACTGAAATGGTAATTTGTGAGCTAGTTCAATTTCTTTGTGTTCTGAACTCACCCTGTGTTGGTATGACATGTTTGTAAGAGCTAACTCAGACCCTTTGTCCGACTAGTGATATTTAAGCATGTGATTATGGAAAAAGACAACATGCTTTTCAATGGAAGTAGCTAGAAGAAGGGACTTTCTGTTTTAAACATGTTTTCCCAAATCATATGTGATGTCTTTGAAAATGTCATTAGAAAGTATCAAAACATCACAACCATTGGACCCTTAAGCACATTAAGTATGGAGACTGTACTCTTGACCTACATCTGTGTCAGTCGCTCTACAGAAGCACTGATGTTTCTGTAGTTGGCAACCTGGTTATGGGACCTAGTCATGTAGTGTCCTGATATACGCCACTGGATTGCATGTACAAATATATATCACAAGTAAATATGCATGTAAGGTTGTATTCTCAAGGCCAAAGTAAATTTATTAACATATCTGCAGGCCCCTGTCATCATGACTCACTGAATATTCTATGGAGAGTCATGAGCTTGAATGTTAACATTTAGCCAAAAAGATATTGATAACAACATGAACAATATGTTTGTTTGTTCGTTGTTTAACGCCGCACTCAGCAATATTCCAGCTATATGACGGCGGTCTGTAAATAATTGAGTCTGGACCAGACAATCCAGTGATTAATATCATGATCATCGATCCACGCAATTGGGATCGATGACGTATCAACCAAGTCAGTGAGCCTGACCACCCGATCCCGTAAGTCGCCTTTTACGACAAGCGTAGTCGCCTTTTATGGCAAGCATGGGTTGCTGAAGACCTATTCTACCCCGGAATCTTCACGGGTCCAATGTAACAATTACTGTAGGACCAGAAAAAAGATTCTGTAGAAAGGGGTTGGCTTATGTATGGGTTACACTTTCATCAAACTCTTTTTTCGTTGTTGGTGAAAAAGCTACATTGTATTGCTTCAGGTGAATAAAATTTATTCTCTAATTACGTGGATTACAAACATGAGTCCAGATATGCTATAAAACACTTTTTTATATTATATTATATGTAACTACATGATTAACTTGCTTAATTCAATATGGACTTGTTGATATTCTATTTTTGATGACAGATCATAACGAGACGAAATTTTTGGTTATGGGTCCGGCTTATTTACTGCACATGACATGTTGATACAGATTTCAAGGACCAAGTTAATACCTCGGCTTTATATAATATCTATGGGATGGCTTATCTACGGTCATATATGGTAACTTCCTGAACATTATGTTGATTGAAACATGTCATGTGGAAAAATATTATCAAACGCTGTTTCTGTTCCTTGGATGTATATGAACTAGTATCAACTGATAAATATATTGCATCTAGTCTAACTCATCATTAATCTGATAAGGAGTAAACATGGTAAATGTAGATGAAAATGCAGGATACCGGAGTCCTGCGAAATGCTGTGTTCTTTTGTCACAAGAAATGGACAGTGTTGGCATTGTCACAATCGATAGAATTTATAGGAAAAGGTCATTGATTTGTTTCTATGTTTTCCAGGCACAGCATGAGTGAGTCTGAGGACAGCTTTGTGTTGTCGGGTGTGACGCTGCCCCAGGACGTAACCGTCTCCATGGTGAACGGCCAGGAGATGGTGATGATGAACATGTCGGCCTACTGTCAGCTCCTGGACGAACTCCATCTGCTCAAGTCTCAGCTGGCCAGGCTGTCCTCTGTACTTCAGGTAACACTGCTCATTACCAGTGTTTAATACAATGTTGAGTTGTACAAAGGTAATGTTTGACTTAACTCTCCAAAACTGCAACAACATGATGGCAAACTCTGTTGAATGAGATTATGTCAAACCTTTGATACCTTCAAGCTACCTTCAGGGGGCACGGGTGGCCCAGTCGTCTAAGACACCGTGATTCGCTGTGCAGAGTTGTGTCCCTTGGGCATGCCAGAAAATATACCCGTGCTCGTGGGTTTCACGAAGTGGTAAACTTCTGAGACCTGCATCACTTCGGGCTTACCTCCCACATTAAGCTGACACGCAGTGATGTAACTAGAATAATGTTAAAAGTGGCGTTGGACCCAACTCACTCACTCACTCCAGCAACCTTAAGTGTATGGAGATTTGGATGAAAATATGTCCCCTTCATCTTGCTTGTTGACACATTGTTACATTATGTTTTCAAAATTTAAAGCTTAATACTATATTTCAAACTACATGTTAACATGATAATGCTGTGGGCTACACTATAAAACATTCAAGCAATATTGCATCTATATCATGGGGGTCTGTATCAATCAGATGTACCAGGCAATAAAATGATTGATATCATGAGCATCAATCCATGCAGTTGAGTTAAGATGATATGCAATCAACCATGTCACTGGGCCTGACCAACGGATCCATTTAGTCGCTTCTTATGGCATGTCATCATATCCCAATTGCGTGGATCGATGCTCATGATGTCGATCACTGGATTATCTGGTCGATTATTTACAAACCGCCATCATATAACTGGAATATTGCTGAGTGTGGCTTAAAAAACAAACAAACAAACAAACTGGCAATAGTTTGACAAGTCATTAAATGTAACAGTGTTCTAGATTACTAAATTAACGTAAGTCAGTGATCATATTCTCAGGGATAATTCTGTTATAATGATTGCTCATCTTGTATATTAAGACATGTAATCTAGTAACGATGAACAACCTTGCATCTGCTGTGACAACCTGCATTGATATAAGGACATTGAGATCACAATCATCAAAAGTAGCCTGATTTATTTGCTGGGTTTCATCTGGCTTGATATAAGATGAACAGGATCTGTCTGTGATTGCAGTAGCATAGTCAGTAAACATGGTAAACATGCAAGGAAAATGATCTGTGGAGAGTGAGCCAGCCCTCCTAGTGCATGTGATAATGAGTTAATCTGATAATAGCTGGCTGTCTCCCGGCTTGGAAGAGGGGCAGGTGGTGTATGGCGTGTGCTAGGTCAGCTAACACCCAAAATAACCCTCATATAGCCCCTTATATCCTTCACCCATGTCCACATGTAGCCCTTAACAACACTTCACTCATGTCAACATACAGCCATTTACAACACTTCACTCATGTCCACATATAACCATTTACAATTCCTTCACTCATGTCCACATGTAGCCATTTACATCCTTCACTCATGTCCACATATAGCCATTTACATCCTTCACTCATGTCCACATATAGCCATTTACATCCTTCACTCATGTCCACATGTAGCCATTTACATCCTTCACTCATGTCAACATACAGCCATTTACAACACTTCACTCATGTCCACATATAACCATTTACAATTCCTTCACTCATGTCCACATGTAGCCATTTACATCCTTCACTCATGTCCACATATAGCCATTTACATCCTTCACTCATGTCCACATATAGCCATTTACATCCTTCACTCATGTCCACATGTAGCCATTTACATCCTTCACTCATGTCAACATACAGCCATTTACAACACTTCACTCATGTCCACATATAACCATTTACATCCTTCACTCATGTCCACATGTAGCCATTTACATCCTTCACTCATGTCAACATACAGCCATTTACAACACTTCACTCATGTCCACATGTAGCCATTTACATCCTTCACTCATGTCCACATGTAGCCATTTACATCCTTCACTCATGTCCACATATAGCCATTTACATCCTTCACTCATGTCCACATGTAGCCATTTACATCCTTCACTCCTGTCCACATATAACCATTTACATCCTTCACTCATGTCCACATATAGCCATTTACATCCTTCACTCATGTCCACATATAGCCCTTTACATCCTTCACTCATGTCCACATGTAGCCATTTACAACACTTCACTCATGTCCACATGTAGCCATTTACATCCTTCACTCATGTCCACATGTAACCATTTACATCCTTCACTCATGTCAACATACAGCCATTTACAATTCCTTCACTCATGTCCACATGTAGCCATTTACATCCTTCACTCATGTCCACATGTAGCCATTTACATCCTTCACTCATGTCCACATGTAGCCATTTACATCCTTCACTCATGTCCACATATAGCCCTTTACATCCTTCACTCATGTCCACATGTAGCTATTTACATCCTTCACTCATGTCCACATGTAGCCATTTACAATTCCTTCACTCATGTCCACATATAGCCACTTACATCCTTCACTCATGTCCACATGTAGCCATTTACATCCTTCACTCATGTCAACATACAGCCATTTACAACACTTCACTCATGTCCACATATAACCATTTACAATTCCTTCACTCATGTCCACATGTAGCCATTTACATCCTTCACTCATGTCCACATATAGCCATTTACATCCTTCACTCATGTCCACATGTAGCCATTTACATCCTTCACTCATGTCAACATACAGCCATTTACAACACTTCACTCATGTCCACATATAACCATTTACATCCTTCACTCATGTCCACATGAAGCCATTTACATCCTTCACTCATGTCCACATACAGCCATTTACAACACTTCACTCATGTCCACATGTAGCCATTTACATCCTTCACTCATGTCCACATGTAGCCATTTACATCCTTCACTCATGTCCACATATAGCCATTTACATCCTTCACTCATGTCCACATGTAGCCATTTACATCCTTCACTCCTGTCCACATATAACCATTTACATCCTTCATTCATGTCCACATATAGCCATTTACATCCTTCACTCATGTCCACATATAGCCCTTTACATCCTTCACTCATGTCCACATGTAGCCATTTACAACACTTCACTCATGTCCACATGTAGCCATTTACATCCTTCACTCATGTCCACATGTAACCATTTACATCCTTCACTCATGTCAACATACAGCCATTTACAATTCCTTCACTCATGTCCACATGTAGCCATTTACATCCTTCACTCATGTCCACATGTAGCCATTTACATCCTTCACTCATGTCCACATATAGCCCTTTACATCCTTCACTCATGTCCACATGTAGCTATTTACATCCTTCACTCATGTCCACATGTAGCCATTTACAATTCCTTCACTCATGTCCACATGTAACCATTTACATCCTTCACTCATGTCCACATATAGCCCTTTACATCCTTCACTCATGTCCACATGTAGCTATTTACAATTCCTTCACTCATGTCCACATGTAGCTATTTACAATTCCTTCATTCATGTCCACATATAACCATTTACAATTCCTTCACTCATGTCCACATGTAGCCATTTACATCCTTCACTCATGTCCATATGTAGCTATTTACAATTCCTTCACTCATGTCAACATACAGCCATTTACAACACTTCACTCATGTCCACATATAACCATTTACAATTCCTTCACTCATGTCCACATGTAGCCACTTACATCCTTCACTCATGTCCACATATAGCCATTTACATCCTTCACTCCTGTCCACATGTAGCTATTTACAATTCCTTCACTCATGTCCACATGTAGCTATTTACAATTCCTTCATTCATGTCCACATATAACCATTTACAATTCCTTCACTCATGTCCACATGTAGCCATTTACATCCTTCACTCATGTCCACATGTAGCCATTTACATCCTTCACTCCTGTCCACATATAACCATTTACATCCTTCACTCCTGTCCACATATAACCATTTACATCCTTCACTCATGTCCACATATAGCTATTTACAATTCCTTCACTCATGTCCACATATAGCTATTTACATCCTTCACTCCTGTCCACATATAACCATTTACAATTCCTTCACTCATGTCCACATATAGCCATTTACATCCTTCACTCATGTCCACATATAGCCATTTACAATTCCTTCACTCATGTCCACATGTAGCTATTTACATCCTTCACTCATGTCCACATATAGCCATTTACATCCTTCATTCATGTCCACATATAACCATTTACATCCTTCACTCATGTCCACATGTAGCCATTTACATCCTTCACTCATGTCCACATGTAGCCACTTACATCCTTCACTCATGTCCACATATAGCCATTTACATCCTTCATTCATGTCCACATGTAGCTATTTACATCCTTCACTCATGTCCACATATAGCCATTTACATCCTTCATTCATGTCCACATATAGCCATTTACAATTCCTTCACTCATGTCCACATGTAGCCATTTACATCCTTCACTCATGTCCACATATAGCCAATTACAATTCCTTCACTCATGTCCACATATAACCATTTACATCAGAATAGGTCTTCAGCAACCCATGCTTGTCGTAAAAGGCAACTAATGGGTCTTAGGGACCCGGACTGTGTAGCTGTGGGAGAGATATGTCAGTCCTGGGGTCCGATGACCCGGACGATCCCTAGAGATAAGCTGGTCCTGGTCGTGCTGACCGGACGGTGCCGAAATAGCCTTTTGGGGCCACAAGCCTTCCATGCTCTGAGTATGGAGTGGCTTATGACACCGAGGCAGCCCCAGAAGATAACATATATACATAATATATATATATAGGCGCCTGATAAAATGCCATGGAATGCATGCCAATACATTAGTACTAGCGAATCCACAAGAAACCACATACATGATGCACATGAATACATGAAGCCATGGAAGACAGGAGGAGCTAAGGGGTGGCTGGAGGGTAACACGGTTGAGTGGCTTGCAACAATGGAGAAAGTAACCTCGTGCGGGGCTGATGGGTTAATAAAGGTAAACACAGTGACATCATGTCCGTCTTACTGGGCATGCGCAGACTGTTTGGAAGTGCATTGTGGGAAGTAATTACTGTAACATGATCCAGACGGAATGAAAACACATTCAGGTGACAGAGTTTTAAGAAATTGTGTTGAATATAAAAGTAATGAGGTGATTGACCTGTAATTGGTAGATTAAATATGAACGAGTAAGTACTGTTGTTGTTGCACAAACTAAAATATCAAATTACCATTTACAATTCCTTCACTCATGTCCACATGTAACCATTTACAATTCCTTCACTCATGTCCAATGTAACCATTTACAATTCCTTCACTCATGTCCACATGTAACCATTTACATTTCGTTCACTCATGTCCACATGTATTCTTATGCATGTTATGTGACCTATGTATGACAAGAACATCATGATGGTTCAATTTCACTGTGCAGACTACGTTTCAAACATGACAACCTTAACTTGGAATTGTTAAATGTGTAAAATAAAATACTTAAATGATCTAAGGTACAATATCAGCAGTCATAGACTTAATATGTGTGAGTAACAGCCCCTGCAACCACTCTCTGGCACGGTGGGGACAGCATTACACCACTGCCACAAGCTGTTTTGCTTATCATGTGTCTGGACATTTCTCTTGATTGAAAGACCATCTACGTGGTCTAGTGGTAGAGCGTCCACCCATAGAGCTGAAGGCCTGGGGTTCAATCCCCGGACGGGTCATACCCAGAAACATTAAATGATGGCACTTGTTGTTACCTTGTCTTGCGCTCGGCATTAAGGGGCTAAAACAAGGACTGGTCGGCTGGGAGTCAGTACGCTGTGTCTGAGTGGGGTTTTCATGGTAAACTGTGGCATGGTTTTTCAGTGGGCTAGCACTATGAATTGGCATCAGTACAGACTGGTACAAGTAGCCACACACACACAAGCATGCACGCAGCTGTAATCTTTGATGCGAGTTGAACACCATTTCACCTTTTGATTGTAAACAAATTGCCCTAATTCCAACATCTACACAGTCTGACACAGAGGAATCTTTTCAGTTTGATTTTCACAATCATTTGTCAGGATATACTGCAACAACTTTGACAGTGAGAAGTATGGCAATGTATCTTTTGCACAGCAAAATGTCCATATCACTAACCATCCATAGGGTTTTGATGTCTACCCGTGGAACAGTACAACCATTGCAAACAAAGGACAAATACGAAAACTGAAATAGTTTTTCACAATTTTATGTTTTTTCAGTGAAAGTTGAACATTTCATGACATAAAGATTTGTTTATCTAAATGAGTTGATTTTTAATAATGAAATAGATGAAAGACATGTGCAAGTTGTTGAATGGACTGTGGCAGAGGTTGACCTCATGGATCTCTGTGTAGCAGAATCAGTCCAAGCATAAGGTGCCCTCCGTTTATTACTAGGGGCGGTCGGGTAGCCTAGAGGTTGAAGCATTCGCTCATCACGCCGAAGACCCGGGTTCGATTCCCGACATGGGTACAATGTGTGAAGCCCATTTCTGGTGTCCCCCGCCGTGATATTGCTTGAATATTGCTAAAAGCGGCGTAAATCCATACTCACTCACTCACTCACGTTTATTACTATGCTCAAGGTTTAAGTTCTTGTTTGATTTTTCAGGACAATGACGATAACCTTTCGGATGAAGTAGATTGACATGTACAGCACCCTTCATTAGGCTATACAGGTTAGTGTGAAGATCTAGTCATCTGCACATCACATCACACCTCTGCTTTTAGCAGAGATTCTTGTGAAATCTTACATGTGGAAAGGGTTTTCTATCTTTTATCTTTTATCTTTTATGTACGTGAGTGGATGTACTGTTCTTAAATTATGTTTTTGTACCCATGAAGATCCGGGTTAGCATAGGTCTTCAGCAATCCATGCTTCCTGCAAAGGCGACTATGCATGTCGTAAGAGGCAACTAACGGGATCATGTGGTCAGGCTCGCTGACTTGGTTGATGTGTGTCATTGAATCCGAATTGCGTGGTTTCGATGCTCATGATGTCAATCACTGGATTGTCTGGTCCAGACTCGATTATTTACAGACCGCTGTCATATAGCTGGAATATTGCTAAGTACGGCATTAAACAACAAACAAACAAACAAGCCTTATATTTTTTATTAATTTTATAATTACTTCACAATGACTATTTTCAGCATTGTTCAGGTCTTGCATCTGCTGTGAACTGGGATAACAAGAGTATTGCCCATGAACAACTACCACTTGAATGAAATTACAACAAGGAAGTTTTCCTCCATCATCATGGGAGACAGCACAAAATGACCTGAACGTCTTGTACATAGTTTTGAATTCTGACCGTCTGCTATCTCTGTCAGAATCTCAACTTGTGCAAGTTTTATTGAGTTGTACCACTACTTCTCTCTGCTTTGTAAATGTCCGGGGTTCACAGTAAAGTGTATACAGTAAAACATGGTTGGAATGAATTCCAAAGGACTGGTGAAATTGGATTGGTGTAGACCTTGTTCACTTCTTGTGGAACCACGTCTGCCATTTTGATTTCACCAGCCATTCTTATCATTCAAAGTTGATAATCTGAAAAGTTTGATAGATTATATATTTCTGGTTATATTGAAAAAACTGTAAATAACTTTAGAGTACGGTAACGGGAAAATTAGTTGTACATTGTTTCCCTCATGGTGACTGACACTGTTGACCAGTATGATTCCCACATCAGTGAAACATTATTCTAATCGGAAAAATCAGCTTGCTGTAAATTCATCATGAGACTTCCTTAAATGATAATGTATCTGTCAGACTTTTGAAATAGTTCATCATGACTGTTAGTACACTTCCGTGTTTGAGATAACCATCTTCTACTGTATGTGCACTGTGACAGAACACTTTCATTTTGATTGTTTCATGAAGATCTTGACCAATCCAAATGTTGTTCTCAAGTGTTTCCCCTCTAAACACAAAGCATCGTGAGTTATGTGAAAATTGTGCAGCTCAATCCTTAACAGACCATGTTTAACATATCCAGAGACCAATGTGAAAGTGCTTATTATATTAACCTAGGATACGGTTGTGAGTGTAACTTCAATACTAGAAAGGCATGGTTATAACTACGTTGTTCTCTCTTTGTAGTGACATGTAAACTTTCATCCTAGTTATTTCATTGCTTGGCTGAGGGTATTGAAGATATTGCAGTTTACTATTGTATAGGTACTAGTGTTTGAAGAACTAAGTTCATTTCAAAAGTCCATTATAACTTTTCTCAGTGATATGAGGTACAAACTACAGTCATGTGCTCTTATGGCCGGTGTATACTAAAAATGGAAATCAAATACAAAGTATGGAATGTGACGCGAAATAGCTTCAAAATAAAATGGATCAGGATTTGATTACATCATTCTTCAACGAGTAGGATATATCATTGATAACAATCACACTATGTTTATCCTTTTGCATGCTACCATTTACATTTATTTCATGCAGAACTAGCAAGAATTGAGGTATTATTACTTTGTATTATTCAATCAAACATTTATTTGGCATTAACTCTTACTGCACATAACTGCATACAACTGTATTTTGGACCAAGATCAGAGACTAAAATGTCAGTTGTGATTTGTATGAAAGTTATGGGACCAGTTTGACAAAAAATTCAGATTGTTTATGTCATCAGTTGGATGTTTTGTCTGTTCTGTTAGACTTGTTTTATCAATTTGAATAGAAATTATCTGTCTAGTTGAAACGCTTGTACAGTTCATCTAGACAGGAATTTTATTCTCTGTGTAATTCAGATACAAACATTTTGAAAATAATTCAATGTTGATAGTAGCACCATACAAATTATTGATAAGACTTCAACATTAAAATTTGGCAACATGTATCTGTGTGTTATGATCGCGTGTAACTTGACATCTATGATTCCATTGGGGAAACGTTTGTTCAATAACATAAAACAAACTATTGGTGATGATGTAATGGATTGTTGGTCTATGTAAAGAGAATTTATTTTTCACAAAATTGTTACAACTTTATGAACGGTGTATCAATATCTTATTGAAGCTCATGACACAACACAGTATGCACAAATAATTCATTCTTTTTTAAAATGTTCTTGTTTCTATACTGTGATGATGACTTTACACTTTTACTAACGCCATCAAATTGTTGAATTTATTTTTATGACACAAGTTTCATCTATACCAGTGTGAATTATTAGTCTGAAGCAATAGATTTTGTGATCCTGTGACATTGTGATACATCTTCTCGCCATGACTATTTTGAGCAACATTTATACACAATAGCCTGTGGACATTGATAGAGAAGGCCCTGCATCAAGCACCTGATTATTGCTTTAACACTGGCCTAGGTAGAGTACAGGTAATAACCTGATTATCACAAGGAATATTGTATGGTAAGGTATTATATGTTTCACATTAAAAAAATTATTTCATGAATATTCTTCCCAACTCAAGGAATACAGATATGACCAATTGGCAAGATCACTTTCTTGATAATTATTAGAATGTAATGCTTGGAATGGCTTTATTATGTATATGTATCAGTATTTCATACTCAATGATCAATTGTGAAAGTTGAGTGGGATATAATGTAAGGGAGATAACTCATGAAATGGACCAAAGATTTGACGTATACAGGCCATCTGTGGACTACCACCACCACTACTACTGGACCCAAACTACTACTACTACTACTACTATAACGACTTCCCCCACGACTACTACTACTAATTCTACTACTGGACCAAAACTACTACTAATACTACAACTGGACCAAAACTACTACTACTACTACTACTACAAATTCCCCCACTAATACTACTACTACTTCTACTACTGGACCAAAACTACTACTAATACTACAACTGGACCCAAACTACTACTACTACTACTACTACGACTTCCCCCACGACTACTACTACTACTTCTACTACTGGACCAAAACTACTACTAATACTACAACTGGACCCAAACTACTACTACTACTACTACTACTACGACTTCCCCCACGACTACTACTACTACTTCTACTACTGGACCAAAACTACTACTAATACTACAACTGGACCCAAACTACTACTACTATTACTACGACTTCCCCCACGACTACTACTACTACTTCTACTACTTGACCAAAACTACTACTAATACTACAACTGGACCCAAACTACTAATACTACTACTACGACTTCCCCCATGACTACTACTACTACTTCTACTACTGGACCAAAACTACTACTAATACAACAACTGGACCAAAACTACTACTACTACTATTACTACAAATTCCCCCACAACTACTACTACTACTTCTACTACTGGACCAAAACTACTACCACTACCGCAACTTCTACTACTACTAGGACTTCCCCCACGACTAGTACTACTACTAGTTCTACTACTACTACTGGACCAAAACTACTACTTCTACTACTACTACAAATTCCCCTACGACTACTACTACTACTTCTACTACTGGACCAAAACTACTACTACTACTACTACTACTACTACTACAAATTCCCCCACAACTACTACTACTACTTCTACTACTGGACCAAAACTACTACCACTACCGCAACTTCTACTACTACTACGACTTCCCCCACGACTAGTACTACTACTAGTTCTACTACTACTACTGGACCAAAACGACTACTACTACTACTACTACAAATTCCCCTACGACTACTACTACTACTTCTACTACTGGACCAAAACTACTACTACTACTACTACTACTACAAATTCCCCCACAACTACTACTACTACTTCTACTACTGGACCAAAACTACTACCACTACCGCAACTTCTACTACTACTACTACTACTACTACTTCCCCCACGACTACTACTATGACTTCCCCCACGACTACTACTACTACTACTAGTTCTACTACTACTACTGGACCAAAACTACTACTAATACTACAACTGGACCAAAACTACTACCACTACCACAACTTCTACCACAACTACTACTACTACCACCACCACCACTAGTAGTGACCGCCTTCTTGGTGTGGTGGAAGAGCATCCTTCCGGAGAGGGGAAGGTCCGAGGTTCGATCCCCAGCCGCGTCATACCAAAATATGTTAAAAGATTGTATTTTTTGTTACCTTACCTGGCGCTCGGCCTTAAGTGCAATAATCTTGGACACAACGTTAAACCCCATTTAACCTCACCTCACCTCACCTTACCTCACCTCACCACCGCTACTACTACTGGACCATAGCTACTACTACTACTAGGTTTTCAAATAGGTTTCTTGAAGTGTGATTATTATTGTGTCATTACACAGATATCTGTAACACATACTTTTTACAGACAACATGATAACATGGCTTGACAGATTTATCAGAATTATCAATCCATAAAAAACAATTAAAGAAATAGGCATCAAGAACAATACAGTTCCACCAAAGATATTCTACACAATAATACTCCATAGAGTCTCCTACAGAAGTGGAGACAGCTAGAGTTTGGTGAGGGCTTCCAAATACATCGTTAGTTTTATCAAGCTATTTGTTCTATCTCACTTTTATCAGTGGAGCTGCATATCAAGACTAGTACAGTACAATGTGTGCTTCTGCAAAATGTAACAAAAGCTGACTATAATTAATTAATGTACCAGGTATTATCTGTTAAAGGTATATGTAATTTAACAAAATAATTATATTTCTAATCAGAACAAGAGAACAGGCTATGCAGATTTTGTGATCAAATTTTGTCATGTATTGTTTGTAGGCGGCTATATTAATGACTATTATATCTCGACCTGGTAAGGCATCTTGTCATATATTTGGTGGTAGTTCACGTATAAGAAATCTCTATCTATGGAGCTTTCTATCAATTTTGTAATATATCAGTAGATGTATATATAAATGAGCCGTTGATCGTTTTACTGCTTTTTCTATTATGATGATCCTAGTCTTGTAGTTTTTCAGAAAACAGTTGGTTTCTGTTAAACATGTTAATATAGTGTCTTACATTATAGACTATTTTCTTCTTCAGTGTGAATACAAATGATATACGGTATTTATTTATGGTGAAACAACAGTATTCTACAATCATAACCAAACTTTCCCAAACACTATAGCCACAACTTCTAGCTTGTTTTTCCACAGTGTTCTTGACACAAAGAAAGAAGCATTGACATATTCTTCTCTTTGTTGGGGCTATTGAATACGGCTACAATAAGATCAGTCCTCAAAGCGAGACCTCATTAGTCTGTAAATTTGATTCCTTAATAGCTACAACCAACACAGTGTTCCTTGGAATAATATTCCATCTTTAATTAAAAAGCAAGCTAAACTTTGTGTCCAATAGTTTTTTATGCTTTCAAGCGAGCACAAGTTTTTAACTTTTATTTCCGTTTTAAGCCTTTGCGCACTTCTTGTGGTATTTATTGTTTTTGTTTGACAATGTTGAATAAATGCTTTGCAATAGGTTCTGTTCTGTTAGCTTGTAGATTGAACAGGGTCGTGTTCCACAAAGTGCTCTTGGCACCATGACTTACTGAAATCAATGCTGAAGCAGGATTACAATCGTCTTGGCACTAAGATCGCTTTTTGGAACTGAGCCCAGATGTAAGTGCACGTTCAACTTCTTACATTTGGTGAAAAATAATCTTATGTAATATATTCATGGAATTGGAGTAATTTGTGCCTCTGAACCTTTTTTGTGTATGCACAGCAGTGGCAAATTTTATTGTTCATAGGAATAGCAAAATTTGACACAATTTGAGATCGTTGGCAAGGTTATTTTCCGAAATATTAAAAGCTATCTAGCCATTTCCTGATGGGAAAATGCAATGAATCAAATAGAACTTCTAAAGGATTGGCAGATTCACAAAGCTGTCATGTTCCTTCCAACAATCTCAACTTTGCAACTGTTGTGGCCCCTCTGAAAGTATGGAGCTGAGACAGTCACTTTGCTTGGATCTCTTTGATTGTGAAAACTACTTTAGTAAGTGATACAAAAGATTCTTTGTGTGGTGGCCATTTCTATTTACCAATGCAACTGTATGTCCATATGTTCTAGTCATGACGCATTAGCAGGTTTTCACATAGAATTATTTATTTATTCACGATCTAATTTTGATACTTTTGTATGCATAATCAGCACTCTTTGCCTGACTTTTCAGCCATATCATGAACAAAGTTTTAAGGCTTTTTGATTTGGGGCCATATTGTACATATTTTTATCATGTTGTTTTTCATCCTGAAATCACAAGAAATATTTATCACCATATTTTCATAAGTTATGCTCTCTTATGACTGGATGA